TATGGGATCTTCAAATTTTTGATGAATTTATTAAACTCATAAAATACTTGGTAGGAATGATCTTCTTATGGAGGGTGATAAAAGGGAAAATTCTGAATCTGGAATGACACACAGGAAAAGAGGAGAAGCAATTGTCCTTATTTCCTTTGAAGATCATATTTCAGTCCAAAGTAACCACCTTCTAGGCTGGGTGTCTGTGTGACATGTATCGTTAAGCTTGCATGTATGATTATATGTGCATATCTGCATAGACAAATGTGCACAAATGCCTATCTATGCTTGGATGGGAGTTAATCTATACATGGGCATACATGCATATGCATTGCAAGCATACATAGGGATGCAATGTGTACACGTGTATATGTGAGCTTGCACATGTATGTGGATGCATGTGTATTGCATGGATGCATTTTTATACATGAGGGTCCATGGTTTTGGTTCTTGTGTGTATGATGTGAGTGTATTCATTATCTTCCACCCTTCATTGTGGGATACCTCCCCTTGACTAAGAGGAGGAATGAGAATAAAATCACAGGGGTTCACAAAGAAAGGACAAGGAGTGTCCCAGAGCCCTAAATTTAGACACTCTCAGCCCCGCTCTGGGACCAACATCTCCTATTGACTCAAAAGATAAAATGATGAACTCCAACCTCATCCCCCATCCCCTGTGTGTCTGAGTCCTATTTTGTCCCCCTCTGAGAGAAGGTGCTGCAGAGAGTGAGGCAAAGCCCCCTGGAGGACAGGAAGACTGAGCAAAGGCCTTTGTGGGGTGAAGAAGCAATTTGCATGAATGCCCAAGAGGGAAAGCAACTCTAAGCAGAAGATTCTCTTAATAAACAAAAAATTAAATCTTAATAATGCAGCAAGAAGCCCATTAACCCCTCTTGATCTAAGGTTTACTTCTACCAGTTCTCTGTCCAGAGGGAACTGGGCTTGTTCCACCTTCTCTTTCACAGACCCCTAAGAGAGCCTGAGCTGACACATGGAAAATGAATTTCCTCTGCCTCGTGGCTCTAACTTCCAGCATATTCACTTATGTAATCATTTACCTCTCCACCCATCTATCTATTCATCTGTCCATTCAATCATCTATCCACCCATCCATCCATCCATCTATACATCCATCCATTTATCCATCAAATGGATAACTGAACATCCCCTCTTCATCAGACCCTAGGAGAAGTACTGGAAACATTAGAAAGATGAATTGGGCAGAGTCCTTGTTCCCCCACCACACCACCTTCCACCCCTGGAACTCCAAGTCTAATTAAATATGAAGTCACTTTTAAGCCCAATCTAATCAGGTGTCTGTGGGATCCAAAGGACAGATGATCAAGCCCTACTACATGACAATGAAAACTTCATGGGAATGTGCAAACACGGGTGTCTTACTGTGAACTCAGCTCAAGTCTAGGTATGTGGAACCCAGAGACAAGTTTTACTGATGACAAATCTTCCTGGTGGGAGATTTCAGTCTCCATGATGAGGCATTTATGTTAATCAATAAACACTGTAGAGCTGGACCACTTCCATGTATATTCATTCACCCATAAACTCCCCAGTCATTTGTTAAGCACATAATACATGCCCATATTGCACTAGGCAATGACGATGAAATGATAAAAGACTCTTAGATACTCACTGACCTCAAAATGCTTCTGCTTTAGCAGAGAACACAGGACATTAAGTAAGAAATCACCAGAAAATGTGCTGGTTGATGCATTGGAGGAATGA